ATCTCTCAAGTGGCTTGAATACACTAACCGCTGTTTCAGCAATAAGTGAGTAATACTAAGTGACGCACTGTTAAGTCATGAGTGCAACATAAAGTAAAAGCCCATTTCTTTTAGCATAAAAAAGTAGAGTTATATCCTGTAATGATATTTTGGACTAGCTGACTTCTAGGTGTGATTTCATACAATGTGATGCTGAAGAAGCACAAATGCTGAGCATCTAAAATACATGCGTTTCTTTGTAGAAGATGCAGATCACTGTTCTGTAAGTCATTCTTCATGAAAAGCTATATTATCCTAAATACATCACAAGTTTTAAAAGGCAGTTATTGAAACATGGGCTGTCACTTGCAGTGATATATAATGAGTAAGAATGTGGCAGGTCTTTTTTCTCCTTGTTTTCTCTCATGTTTTCTGTTAATCCATTTTCTTTACAGAACTAACAACTTTCATGTTTGTAAATTAACAGCATCACAGTACTTATAATGCTACTTACCTTTAGGTAGCTAGGCAATCATCAGCTTTTAAATAAAGATGAAATAGTATTATGTTATTTGTGATTATCCTTTGGTTTCCTGACCCTTAGCTATGATTGCAGGACAAGGACAGGTCCTTCCATCCTTTTTCAGCTTTGCTTTGCTGTCCTTGCAGGACGCTGCTGCTCCTGTCAGGCAGGCAGCACGCTGTGGTGGACTCCTTGCTTTGCAACCCATCACTGTTAAAAAGCAAGTCTCCTGGGCCATGATAATAAACACTGGTTGTATTGTTTTTTTGTTTTTTTTTTCTAATCAGTTGAGCAGAGTGTTTTGTTTTCCATAGAATGATAGAAAAGTTTGAGTCGGAAGGAACCTGTAAAGGTCATCTAGTCCAACTCACCCTGCCTTGAGCAGGGACATCTTCAAGTAGATCAAGTTTCTGAGAGCCCTGTCCAGCCTGACCTTGAATGTTCCCAGGGATGGGGCATCTACCACCTCTGTGGGCAACCTGTGCCAGTGTTTCACCACCCTCATTGAAATACATTTCTTCCTTATGTCTAGTCTGAATCTACCCTCTTTTAGTTTAAAACCATTACCCCTTGTCCTATCACAACAGACCCTACTAAAAAGTTTTTCTTTGTTATGTTCTCATTACCTATCTGCATAAGTGAGCATGGTATTTTTACAAACAACTCTCCAGACAATGCTTCACATAAAGCAGAATGTACTCAATCTACCTGGGTTTATTACCTGTTATAGCACAAATATCCTGACTGACCTTTATCTAGGTGTTGTAGGAGGAATTTTCAGCTTTTCGTCCTCAGATTGTTTCCTGAAATCGTGACTGAGGTATGCTCTCTGACTGTTGAAGTGAGACTGGAGGGCTCGCTCTCCTCCTCCTTGCTGCAGTTTCCCTCCAAAGGAAACGCAAACCCTCCGGCAGGGTGCCCGGCAGGTACACCAGTCCGGGTGATGCCACACCAGTCTGGCACATGCAGGAGGACCAGCTTCTGAGCATCATGAATGCGCTTACTGGTAGGAACTGCCTGCATTTTGGGTACTGGTGGTACCCTCATCTCTTGTGCAACATCTTTTCTTTCTGCAAAATGGCAGAAATAAGAATACCATGCTTCACATGTAGTGGTGTTTAAAGTGTGTGAACTTCTTGATTATTGTGATAGGCTGTCAAGTGCTACATCTGATAATGTGTTCTGGTATGCAAAAGTTTCATATAGAACATTATGGTAGTTGTTAAGCAACGTGAAACCGTGGGCTTATTTTTTTCTAAATACAATTCATATTTCTTGTTAACTGAAATTTATTTCTACAACAGAATTCTTACCTATGCTTTCCAATAATGATTCAAAATGCAGCCCTCAAGAAGTGTGATACATTCTTTTCTAAGACCTATCTTGAAATAGAGAATTTACAAAATGATTGAAAACTAGTCTTGTGCAGAAAAATAAATATACCATTCCAGAAGGGCTTTGAGATTTTGAAATCAAACTTGTAACTAAAACAGGAAAAATGATTGCTTCCAATTTTTTCTCAAAGGACTATATGTTAGATCAATTTTAATATGACTTGCATAAATTTTGCATTAAATTAATGGCTTTTAATTGTATGCCTTTTAAATATTTCAAAATTAAGAACAAACATTTCCAAACCAAAAGTAAACACTATTCCAAAAGTGTATCAAAATGGAACGTTTTGATAGCATCAGAATTTTTTTCAAGAAAATATGTAATAATGAATAAAAGCTAGACATTGTAAAAGACTTATGTAAAATGTAAATTGTTTCTCTGTTTACCATATTAAGGCTGTTTGATTTTGAACCTTTCTGTGTATGATTTTATTCGAGCAACCTAAACAACTTAGTAACAGGCCTGATTTTTTCCCTTCCGGAGAACACGGTGGCAAAATATCAATGATAGACAGAGAGGGCACAATTGTTCTTCTGACTATATGAAATGACTAAATATCAGCATGCATTCTTATTTCAAGTATGAAGCTACCACTTACTTTGTCATCAATAATTTTAGCAACGGCTTTGATGTTATATTGGACATCTTCCTTCAAACCACAAGGTTTATGGAAACACATTCAAACAGAAAGCATTGCTCTGTTTAGCCTTTCTAGGTCTTCCCACTCTGAACCATGAGAAGCACCATAGAATAAACATATTTGTGCAGTGCTATCTAAAGTGGATTACACCTTGGTTTTACTATCATGAACAGTGTTTGCTCATGATTGTCATATATCATTTTAAGCATTGAATCATGGCTGTGTGTAAATTATCAGTGGATCGTATAATCTTCAAAAGTCATCTATAAAATGTCATCTATAATTTCTGCAAGTATTTTAAACCAGTCTATAATTTATTATATTTTCTCCCTCTGCCAAATGAATTAAATAGTAAAATAATCTGGTTTATTACAGTTCTTACAGTAATCAGAGTTATGTGGTCATCCCAATTCATAGAGTAACTGGATATAGTCAACAACAGTATGATTTATTTTGCAATGGAATTGTTTTGCAAAACAACATATAAGCTTAACAAATTTGCAAACTAAGAAGTAAAATTGAATAAATGGATAAATTCACCTTCTAATTTTCTCTTTTGTTTCTACCACTGGACAGATACATAACAGTCTGTTGAATTCACCAGAGGCCTGATAATGCCTAGGTCTCACTGGGTTTCATAAAATAAGCATTCGTTAACAAATAAATATATATTTAACAGCTTTTTTAAAAGATATTTTTACTTGTGATGGTGCAAAAGAATGGAGTATCTTTTCCAACTGTATTGCTAGCATGCATTGCTAGCTAAATGCTAGCATTTTAAACAAATAATTCAGATGTGCCTGGGGGCAACACTATCAGGGACACTACCACTGACCTTTGGAAAGTATTTAAGAGTAATGGATGAATTCAGTAAGACAGCTATGTGTGAATATATATTGTGATTACATTTATCCTGATTGACAATTAGACTTTGTTTTACCTTTTATTAGTGATTATCCTGGAACGTTTGTGAGATGTAGTGTTTATCCCATGACTAATATTAGGTTATCTGTGTGTCTTTACAAAAATTTAGTATTTTTTCAAACCAAAGTCAACCACCTGATTATCACATTTAAAATATAGTTCAATTGTACAGAGAGAGGAAGAAAATACCATTTTACACTTTTACAACAGAATAAACCTGTCTAACTTCAAGAAAATGGGGCATCACAAGTATTTTTGTAATCTTTTCATATTCTTTTTACTTTCATGAATAAATAATAACCAGAAATTTTTCACAGTACAAATGTAAGTTCATCTACAAGTAAGAGGAATTGTTTTGATTTTATGTCTGATTCTGCAAATTAAGGGCTGCTATGGCAATTCCTCATCCAAAATTTGTTATCACAGCTTTTATATTTCTTATTATATATTTTGATAATATGCTTTTGCATATTAAACTGAAAGCTTCCACATTATGGAAGTAGGTGTTTTTTACAAACCTATAAGCCAAACTGGTAAATGGAAATGACATACATGGATTTCTTTGTCCATAATGCCTTCCCCATAATTTTTACCCATACGGATTGATGGGTCATTCCAGGTGTACATTAGAAATCTAGTTGGGGATCAATGAGAAAATTGTCAGATAATTATTCCCTGAAATCTTGTAATTTGCCTTACAGCTGGTTGTGCTATATGCAGTTCATTGCTTTTCAACACCGTTTTCAGAACTAAAGTTTTGCTTTCACTTATCATAAATAAAATAAAACAAGAATTTTCAGAAGCAGTTCAGCAGACAAAACACTGAGGAATAAGGATAAGACCTGTAAATTGAAAAGCATAGTTAATTTAACAGAATTTTGGTATCTGCAAACTTTTTTTATTGCACTGTTTGATATAATTCCATAGGTCTGTTTAATTTCAGAATTATTTTAGGGTTTTGGAGCTTTGAAACATTTGGGAGTTTTGTTTTTTGTTTCATAGAAAATGAGATAAATTCTGATATCTCAGTTCATCTTTTTTGTTTATTTGTTGGTTGGGGTTTTTTTTGTTGTTGTTATTCCACTGTTCAAGTTTGCAGTAGAACTAAATGAAAAATACCCTTTTCTGCTGTGTTGATTTGTCAGTCTTTATGGAATAGGCTCATATGTTATCTTTTTTTCCATTGGCAAGAAAATGCAATTTAAGCTGAGCAAACGCTGGAAAGCTCTGTCTGAATTGGCATGTGAAGATCTCAGAGTTTAAGTACATTCTAAATTCTTGTGTTGACTTCCACACGACACTGAAATAGATGTTTTTCTTAGTTAAAATTGTATCTTGATATGCAATACTGAAATAGTTACTCTGTAAATTAATTTAACAATATTTTATTAATACAAATTACCTACTAGGCTTACAGAAAACCAAGTATTTTATAAAAACCTCATGTATTCGATATGTTTTCAATAGTCCATGTATGCTGATGATTACTTTTATTCTTGCAAAATATCTTAGATGAAACATTCACTTCCTTGGTTTCAGGAGCTGATGCTGTGGAGGCCCAGTGTAAGAGATTTGAAGTGAGGGCAAGTGAAGGTGGAAAGGTATTGTTTTCTGCAGATGAAGATGAGATTGTCATTGGAGCTGACAGACTGAAAGTAACAGGTATGGTAATAATAAGGCTTCTAAATGGATGTAAACTTTTTTGTTGGGGGGAGGGGAAGGTTAATACTCTTACTAATAATAAATCTATTGGTCTTCTACAAAATTTTCATCCACTGGAGAGGAAGAAGTCTTCTCATCATCAATGATTGCTTGACCAACCAAAAGATATTGCATAATCTAAAAATCAATTCCTCTAAACGCAGATTTGAATTTAAACTCTGCAGGTCCAACTATGGTACAAATCGCCCTTACCACAGTGATTTGGTTTTTATATGTTACCATTAAGCATTGTTTTGTGGTACCTATACCATTTGTTTAGGTAATAACCCTTCACTATGATAAAAAATATTGTTATATACTATGACCTTTTTTTTTTCTGTATACAAACTATCAAATCTAACTTCCATGTGAATTAAAGGTATGTACTCTGCTTTACTTTTGGAGGCGTAGCTGAAGTGTAGTGAGTAGAAACCTTGTCTTGACTTGAACATTTGTTCAATAAAATAAGAAAACTAATTCTCATTGGTACTTTACTGTCATCGTTACATATACATATATATCAGTAACTCATTTGATAGTAGAAACATGTTAGCTTATTAAAAAAAAATGCTTACCTAAGTTTGTCTGAGATAAATGCTTTAACTTTAATTGCTTAATAAAATCTTATCTGAACTTGGACTGGACTTGAGCTATCCACTCATAATCTAGAATAAGATACAAAACTTGAATTGCTTTGCCAGTCAGCGGTGTTTAGCTTTAAGTCAGTCTATATCTGAGGATGCCAGCATTACAGAGTTGAGATCAACCTACTAGTTTGAAAGTTCAATTGTGTAGAAAGTATGAGATGGTTCTGGTTTATGATGATTACAATAAGATATCCCTTTCTGGTCTGTAAAACTAAGAAATGCATTATAGCAACTTTACGCTTTTTTAAAAAAAAAAGTATTAGGCAGTTCTGCTTTTGTGTGATGCCAGATATAGCACTAAAATAGATATAGGAAGTCCAGAGTCAAGCTATGACAACTTCCTTCAAGATTGCTGCTTGCCAGTGTACGTAGGATAACTTTTCTTCCCCTTTCATTGCTATCTGACCTCTATCTTCTCTAGCCAAGCAATCCGTTTTAATACGGCTAAACCAAAAGAAAAGTCTTTTACAAGCAGGCAGTTTAGTGGTGTTGCAGTATCCAATATAATACAGTAAATTGTGTTGATTTACCAAATTTGGGGTTAGGAGAGGGACACATCAGTGTTTTGTTGAGTCAGCAGCAATTCTTCAGAGATAGTAGCTGTACAAGAATGTTACCATAGTAAAACCTGAGACAATAACTAGAATAACACAAGAAGAAAAAAGAGAATCGTACTGAATCCTGCTAAGGTTCAAACTTGATCAGAATATTAAATACTGAGAAAGTTAAACATACAATCGACACAGGAGATTTCAAAGCATCTATCACAAGTTAAAAAATAAAACATCTTACAAATGGCACTGAGGATTAGATTTCCTGCCATTAAGAAATGTAATCATAAGTTGTAGATGTCATGGTAATTTTTTTTTATCAGACTTCAAAGGTAAAGCATTGCTCAACTGTCTTTAACTTCAAAGTGGCTTAAGTTCCCACAGCACCTGTTGACATCAGTGTTATAGACAGCAGAACTAGTAAAAATTTATTCAGTGATGCTTAGCATGGGATATAAGATTGTTCCTTGTGAAAAGAACAGGATTTTCTCCTTAATTCTAGAAATACACCTGACTCTATGTGTATTTATATTAAGCTCCCTCGCCCAAATTAAAAAAAAAGAAAGAAAAGAAAAGAAAAAAAAAAGCTAGGAAAACCTAAGTTAATGCTGATTTGTATTCCTCTGAGTTTCAGGGATTACTGTATACCTATTGAGTCCTACCAGAGAATTTCACTACTAGAGTTGTTTGTACAAGTAATTGATTTTCCTTCTGTGACTAAAATGAAAAATAAACAAGAGTTAGGACTGAATTTTCAGACATTCTTTCATTGAACTAGAAAAATTATGTTAGGGTTAAAACAATAAAAAAATTAATTACTTGCACACACACACAAAAAGAAAAATTTAGGCATCGTTTAAATATTACAAAGGAAATATGCATATTGGAGGATTTTTAAAGTTCTAAGTGTTGTCATTTAAGTCATGAAGTTAAATATAAATTATGTTCCATTAAGTAGCTTAATGTCCAATGTTTCAGGCAGTTTCTTTAGAAAAACGTATTAAGGTGTTTTGTAATTGCAATTTGAAAGAGTAATTTACTTTAAAAAATCACTTTAAAAATATCATCTTCTTTTGTGTTTATTCAAAAGTAATTTAATGAAGTTGGGATCATTCTTTCTCTCTCTGGATAATCATCTTTAAATCAGATTTCATTAGTAAACTATCTTATAATGAGGCTATAAAAGTCTAGTTTCAAAATTTTATACATTAAATCCCTAGGACCCGCTTTAGGTTAACCCTTCCATCATCTTCTTAGAGAAGAAAAATATTATCCCACAGAATGAAGGGAATAGTATTAGATTTCTAAATGAATGAGCATTTCAGAAAGGCTTAGACAGAATAACCTCATATCTCAATTTCTGTATCCCTAATAGGCTTTTTGCAGCGTAAGTACTAATCTGCACAGCCAAATAATGAAACTATCATAAGACATCTATGCTTTACTGTTGACTTCAGTCTAAAGCTGAAATTATTTAACATAGATTTCCCAATGAAGACTAAAAGTTGTATGATCCATGCAATTTCAAGAAAAGTATTTTAAAAATAATCTCTCCCAAAAGGTAAAACAAATTTCTGTCTTCATGGAAAAATAAAATAGCAAAATCTTTCTTTCATATAGTAGATCTCTGTCCAAAGATTGTGTGATAACTTTAAATTCTTCAGCAAACTCATGAAAGGTGATGAGTCCCTATGAGTTACATCAATCAGTCTGCATTACTCTATATGACATGATATGACTGATGAAACTTGGCAAGGCATCGTAATGTCAAATGTCAACCAGAAATACCTTTTGTTTTTAGTGTATTTTTCTCAAGCCTGTTTTGATAATCATGGTGCCTTGGGGTGAATATAGGAAAGGAGTTATAGAAGAACAGAGAAAACAAAAAAATAATATCAAGAAGGAAAAATAAACTGTGCTTATTTGGAGATTAAACTCTTACATGTAGTTAAAGTGTGGTACTACTGTGAAAACTTAATTTTATTTTCTTGCTTAGCTGTGAATAGTGTCTCTTCAGAAACACTTCACTGTGAATGGGTCCAGTAAATGATGCATTTTGGTAATTAATTTTCTAAAACGTGCCCATTTCATGGACATTTATAAACCAGTATGGCAATGTGGAATTTATTTTATATGATTTTTTTCTCAATTCAGAAGAATGCTTTTGTAATGCACAGCTTTAAAAAGCAATCTGTCATAAGGCAGTAGAAGAAATTCTTGATTAATAAAAACTTGAAAGATTAAGTTTACAGCTTCTCATTGATTATTTTTCTATCATTTTTATTTGTAAATGTTTATATAGACAGCCTATTCCAGGGAGAAAAGTATAGTAGAAACAGACTAGTAATTCAGATATTCAATATATTTCCCAGATAAGAAAAATATGGAGTCAGAAACAGTACTTTTTGCTTTAGAGATATTGCAGCTACATATTTCCCTATTAAGAGTCTCTCACTTTAAAATTAGGCAGTTGGCTGATTTAATTTAGATTTCTTATTCTTCCTTCCATTGCTACTTTTGCTTTTTCTTTTAACTGTCCTAACTCTTTTCTACTTTATCATTCAAGGAAAGAAGAAAAAAGAATCAACCTTTGTTTTATTAGACAGAGCTGTCAGAATTGCAGCTGACTATTACCCCTTTGTGCAGGGACACCTCAGACCGCCAAGTTTAACACGTATCGTAGGGCTTCGTAGGGAGGGAAGAGAAAGGCATGATGAAGTAAACATATTGCCAAAGAGTTGGGAAACATGCAGGAATAAGGAGCTGAGTTTCTGGTGGGCTCACAGGTTCCTTTCTGCACATGGTTAAATCTTTCTCCATCCCTTATGTTCACCCTGTCCCAATGAATGGACAGCATCTGTAGCATGGTGGAGTCTTCTTCACTCCTGCAGTTACAGAGCAAGAGTATCTGTTTGACTTTTACTTCTGTTATTTAAATCATCATACAAAGTTTTCTGCCCTGTGCTTTTATTTCGTATTTCTTTTAATTGCAATCTGATCTCTCTAAAATATTTTTGTAGCAGAACTTGAAAACACTGTATTGGTCACACTCATTGGTGAGAGTACAAGCATATAGTCACTCAGCTTTATCCTGCCAGAGTACTTTTGAGAAAACAGATTAAGAAGGCCTAGCTCAGTATACATTTTTCTGAGACATTGCTATGAAAGAAGGTTGTAATTGTTTCTATAAAGACTTTCACTGTAGGTGTCTTGTTAGTACAGTTTCTCCTCCTCTTTTTTCTTAGTCCAAACTTGTAGTTAGCAGCTATATAAGAAGTACTAATCAAAGTGGAGGTCATCTAGTTCTATTCTAAGCAAAACATCTACTTTTTTGGACAACGTAGTTTAATTTTATTTTCTCCTCTGACTTTGAGGTGGTTTGCTCAGTTAAGGCTAAAAGCAGATTGTCAGAAACTTTTTTTTTCTATTAAACTTACAATGTTTTATCCAAATTAGACAAACATTTTGCTTTTTTGAGAAGAGTATTTCTCTATGATTTTTGAAGGAGACTTCAATTTAATTCTTGTATTGTCTCATACATTCTTCTGATCTATATACTTCATTCAGACTTGGCTATAGCATTCTTTTTTTAACCATGATTTTATCTGTGATAACAATAACAAAAACAATAGCGTAATTTAATTTGTTACAGGTTTACATACCTTCTTCTAAATCAGTTGTATTTGCACATCTGGCTTTTTTATTAATCATGTTTAAAAGAAGGCAAGGCAAAAATAGATTTGCAAGTACCACGTAGGTCTTC